TGTTATGTTGTCACAATGTATAAGCTATCTATATTTTGTTACAGAAAAGGTAATTAGACTACAGTTAAACAAGTTACACCCATTCTTATTTATTTCTCGACAAAACTTTCCGTCTCCTCTTCCTCCACGTACCCCTCCACTTTACTGCAATCAACTGAATGTTGTTACTGGTGGTTTTACAAGGTTGAATATAAAGACAAATTGTTTTTGCCTTATCATAATCATGCCGGAAACAAATTTTCATACCACTCCGACGATAGAAAATAATCGTTTGCAACACAAATGGCAGCTGGGAAGAAGAGTAAAATGAGCCATTTTTCTACTCAGAAACCAAATCACAATTCCCAACCATGGAAAAAACTTTTAACTATTGTTACAAAAAAGACATTTGAATAATCGTTAAGAAATTCACTCGATATTACTCATTTCTCAGAAAACGTTTTTACTCATTAAAAACAACACAATTTTTCAACCAAGCGTTCGATCATTAATTATTCTCACGAAAAACATAATTACAAAAATATTAAATATTTTACATATCGGAAAAGTTTTCTAATCAAAAACTGAGAGAAAAAATCAATATATATTGTTACAAAATGTGTAAATTTTTTCATTTTAATTTATTTACTTTTTCAAAAAAAACTTTCTACTGAAAATTACATCACGTTTTCGCAACGAACAAAAGAGTTATCAAACATTGTTACAAAAAAGTGGGTAAGAAACTATAAGGCGTTTTTTTTCTACTTAATACTCAGAATAATTTTTTACTCGATAATTATATCAGTTTTTTGAACCAAGAATACAAGTTTTTAAAATGGTTAAAAAAGAGTAACAAAAACAATTTATTTTTATTATCTAATTATCAGAAGAATTTTATAGTAAAACTCATTTATTTTTCTGTATAAAATTCTCCGCAACATTAAATCATTAAAAAAATCTTTTTTCGCTAACGTTCTTCAGCTCTGAAGATAAGTTTCAAAAAACAATTCAAACATGTTTTTTTAGCACTTTTGTTACTTTTAAAATGAAATGTATTTGCAGGCTGCATGCTCAGATTTACTGAAAATTGGCTCCAAGAGTGTTATTGAACAACACTTAGGGTTGATCATTCAAAAATCAATGTTAAAAAAATTTTAGCAATGGGGACTTTTTGGGTTTTCATGGTCCGGATTTTAAAAATATTGAATTCTTTCCTTTTCCCCGTCCCTGCAGATTTTGAATTATACCATCATTCTCGTTGGAAAACAGCCCACTATGATATGACATACCCTCTTCAAGCCGCCTACTGCCTTCTACACGCAAGATCACAGAAAATCTGTTAAAAACCAGCAAAAAATGCTACGCTTGCCACCGCCAATCAATTTATGATACCCAGCCGGAATTGCAGCCCTACTGTACATCGACTTTCCCCTTGAACTACTTTTTCCCCTTCAGATTAGAGGACCTAAATTTTTTGGATTTTTTGACTCTGGACATCAAACATTTATCATAAAAGATATGGACACATTTTAACCTAGCTATCAGCACGTGCCGTAGTACACCTCCAAACTATTCAAGTCCTCTCTGTCGATGCAACCAACCATCATAGCAACCCGCCGTTTATTTGCAAGAGAAGGAACTCTTACAAGATTTTGTTACCGTATCGGGACAAGTTTCATAGAAAACTTTAAAAACTTCGTTTCCACTGGTTTTCGAAGCTCTCCGAAACCTTTGTTTCAAGAGTTGTTCATGAATCTTTGGTAAATTAGCATTTCGTTGATTTTTTAACGCAGCACATGCGCTTCACTATGGAGTTGAATGGGAATGCTTTATCCGCAGCCTGAAAAATTCAAAGTATGCTATCATTGGTAGCACAGTTTTGACGGACGACACCTTTAAGACAGAACTCTGCGAGATTGAGCAGATCAGTAGTAAACGCCAGAACGATCACCAGAATTTCTTCATCTCTCAACGACATTGAAGTCCTAACACCCAATTTTTTCGTTGACAGACGATTGATCGCCAGCATGCCCCCAAACTATCCACGCCGCCAACGATTATCACATAGCAGTGGAAGTTCGCACAGAAACTTTCAAATCACGTTTGGTCTGAACGGAATCGTGCCAACGCTCCTTCCACTCCAAAAATAGACTCCTGAAATCTTATGATAGCCATTGTAAAACCATTATAGATACTCCGCGGTGCCTGTAGCTTATTGAAACAAAATAACGTACAGACTCACCATTGTATTGCGTAATTCCAGCTGTTTGTCTCTGCTTGGAAACCTGTTTTGACTTCACCTGACAGCACCGAGTTCCTGCCGATCAACAAGGACAGCCATTCAGTCATAATGCTCGAAAAAAACAATGGTTATTCTGGATCAAAGAATGACCATTCCTCTATCAGCGGAAATTGAACTCTTCTCAAAAAAGAGAATCAGTCTCTAGTAATTTCAGTAGTTTTTCTCCTCTATGGTACACGACATGACCCACAGATTAGTTTTTGCTGTTTGCTATTCACCTCTCCAGCGAAGCACAAGAACCAACTTGCAGCACTTTTTGCCAGGAAAGCATCACTCAAAAGGTGATTTTTTTTTTGTAATGACCTTACCATCGGACAAAAAAAACAACAACATTAGCAAGACATGCTGCAACGACGATTTATTGAGCGCTTTACTTGTGTCAACGACTCTGCAATAGACCACTCATCCAGCAAACAAAACAATGACTGACAACAGGGAGGAGTATCAAATAAATAAACGAATCGAGTCCTCGAATAACGACAGCCGTCACATCTGCTCTACTAGGGTTTTAAGAATACGTTTAGGAAACCCCACCCGAATGTACCCATTTTTTCACATTTAATTTTTCGAATGCAAAAAGAGGCCGACTGCAAAAAGATTGCCTTTTGCTACAGCAGGGCTACAAATTGACCGGTTTGCAAGAATTTCAAATAACCAGCAAGCAATTATCTTGCCCATTGCATGAACACAACCCTATGAAGTCAACTGAAATCAAGGCCATGAAAGTAGACAAAAAGATTTTCAGAAAGCAAAACTGAAATAATCATTTAGAAATGCAGCTAAAAATAGAAAAATGATGTTTGAAATGTTATCGTAGTTTTTTAGTTTGCAATCTCTGTGAAAATCAACTCAAATACTTTTGAATGATTTTATATGTTTTGCTATTTTTTGTTTTTCATTCTTTTGAAATGTCGATTTCTAAATTTTTTGATTTCGTTAAAAAATAAAGAAAAAGTTTTTGATAAAACAAAGCATTTTCAGCTCTGATCTATAAAAAAACTCATTTATCACTAATAAGATCCATTAAATAGCCTAAAATATTTTGAAAAATTTCAAAAAATTGCTAGGGAAAACTGATCCAGTTTGAATTTGTATGCAGATAAATCTGCGTTTGTGCAAATTGGTCTAGAAAGGTTTTGTTCCATAAACCTCATAACGGAAGCTAGCATACATATATATAAATTTAAGAGGTTATTAAAGAGAATATTATTTATATATTCAAATTGGTGCAGCTTGATCCCCTTGAAGTTGTGTAAACATTGAAAAATATCGAAAACTCAAAGATCAGGCTCCACTTTATGTCTTTTCAAATCTGACTGCTTTTCATAACAAAGTAAACGATAATAGAAATATTAGTTTATCCAAAGCAACTTTGATAGCGGGATTCACGTTGAGTTTCAGAGATACAGCTGAAAAAAGTTTGTATGCTGGTAGGTTTAAAAAAGAATAACATTGGCATCTATAATGAGTATATAAATGCACTGGTCGAGGTAATCACTTTTTTTGACCACCTCGAACAAAATTCGGTATGTTTCGACCGTGCTCGTCCAAAAAAAATGTGCTCGACAGTGTTCAGTTCAAGCAAGATATGTTTCTATCAAGCATGACCAAACTAGGGATTGTTTTGACTTTCAAACAACATGAGTTATCCAAATTTAAACGTTATAAATTATGCATTTTGGTAACATCTTATAATGCTTTTGATGGGATATTTGTAATATAAATCGTTTAAGAGATGAATTAATTTTTAAGTTATTTTTATCATCTCTCTGAACACTGTTTTGTAATTTGAGTCAAAAATGTTTGAAAAGATTATGATATTTGAAAGAAATTTTTTGGACTCCGAATTATACCGCGTGACAGTCGGTATATTTCAACCAAGCTCGAGGTATGTTTGGACCGTGCTCGAGGTAGGTTTTGACGGTGCTCGACCATGCTTGAGGTATGTTTCGACCGTACTCGAGGTAGGTTTTGACGGTGCTCGACCATGCTTGAGGTATGTTTCGACCGCGCTCGAGGCATGTTTTGACCGTGCTCGAGGCATGTTTCGATATTGTAATCGAACGAAACCCCCGTCTCGACTCTTCTTTTTCGGTCGATCACTGACATGAGCTTGACTTTGAAAATCGAAACATAAAGTGAGCGCCTCGACTTGGTTGATGAGAAAGCGTATTATGATTGATTTTTCAGCAAAAAATCAGCGAACTTACTTTAGAAAATTTAGCGAAGTACCCTAAAACATACCCTGAAACATTACTGCCCGCTAATCAAAGATCTGATATAAAATCGTCAAATAGCCTAAAATCTGGAAGTTGACTAAAATTGGAAGTGGGAGGTGGATGGTTCAATGCTGGCTCCTTTTTTTGCACATATAATAACAAATAAATATCTCCTGTACTTATTCACCGATTTTCACTGAGTTAGTTATCTCCTATTCCTTTTCTGATCAGATTTGAACTAGCACTGCATAGAGTCTATTATAACTCCTGGGTTATAATCAATCATGACCGAGGCAATATTGATTTGCAAGGCGAGACCATTTTAGGCAATGAAACCACGATCAGAACAAATGTTCCTTAAATCGATAAAAAGGTCAAAAAATGAGTGATTCTAAAAATATACAGTCGTCAAAAGCAACTGACTCAAAAACTACCAGATAAATTGTTATGTTGTCACAATGTATAAGCTATTGTGCTGAAAAAATCATAATGCATGCAACAAACAATTGAAGCTGCATACAAAAAATTTGTCAGTAGATTTTTACACGTGTTTGGAATAAAAAAAACTCTTTCTATATTTTGTTACAGAAAAGGTAATTAGACTACAGTTAAACAAGTTACACCCATTCTTATTTATTTCTCGACAAAACTTTCCGTCTCCTCTTCCTCCACGTACCCCTCCACTTTACTGCAATCAACTGAATGTTGTTACTGGTGGTTTTACAAGGTTGAATATAAAGACAAATTGTTTTTGCCTTATCATAATCATGCCGGAAACAAATTTTCATACCACTCCGACGATAGAAAATAATCGTTTGCAACACAAATGGCAGCTGGGAAGAAGAGTAAAATGAGCCATTTTTCTACTCAGAAACCAAATCACAATTCCCAACCATGGAAAAAACTTTTAACTATTGTTACAAAAAAGATATTTGAATAATCGTTAAGAAATTCACTCGATATTACTCATTTCTCAGAAAACGTTTTTACTCATTAAAAACAACACAATTTTTCAACCAAGCGTTCGATCATTAATTATTCTCACGAAAAACATAATTACAAAAATATTAAATATTTTACATATCGGAAAAGTTTTCTAATCAAAAACTGAGAGAAAAAATCAATATATATTGTTACAAAATGTGTAAATTTTTTCATTTTAATTTATTTACTTTTTCAAAAAAAACTTTCTACTGAAAATTACATCACGTTTTCGCAACGAACAAAAGAGTTATCAAACATTGCTACAAAAAAGTGGGTAAGAAACTATAAGGCGTTTTTTTTCTACTTAATACTCAGAATAATTTTTTACTCGATAATTATATCAGTTTTTTGAACCAAGAATACAAGTTTTTAAAATGGTTAAAAAAGAGTAACAAAAACAATTTATTTTTATTATCTAATTATCAGAAGAATTTTATAGTAAAACTCATTTATTTTTCTGTATAAAATTCTCCGCAACATTAAATCATTAAAAAAATCTTTTTTCGCTAACGTTCTTCAGCTCTGAAGATAAGTTTCAAAAAACAATTCAAACATGTTTTTTTAGCACTTTTGTTACTTTTAAAATGAAATGTATTTGCAGGCTGCATGCTCAGATTTACTGAAAATTGGCTCCAAGAGTGTTATTGAACAACAATTAGGGTTGATCATTCAAAAATCAATGTTAAAAAAATTTTAGCAATGGGGACTTTTTGGGTTTTCATGGTCCGGATTTTAAAAATATTGAATTCTTTCCTTTTCCCCGTCCCTGCAGATTTTGAAAAAAGCTCTGTAGTTCTTTTTTAAATTTCGGCCATATTGATTTTTCCAGCCCTCTTAAAAACTATCGAGACCTTTTCGCCAAACATTTTCTGCTTCGCATTTCGAATAAATCTGCAACTCATATTAGCATAATCCGCTTATTTGGTTTTAATTAATCTGGTTATTTGGTTGATAGGCAGCTAACTAGTCTTTATTTATTATAGTTTATTATAATCAAACATTTGAGACTGATTAATTTTATACCGTTGACGAGCAAATCTTTTTTAACGACATTAAAACCCGATTAGTTTCATATTGGCAAAAATCAAAGTACCAAGCTACGATTAGCTTCATAGTGGCTAAACGACTATACGAGTAAGTAAATTAAATCAATTTCTAGAATAAATTTCCCCAACGCTAACTTGTCATGCTCTTCAAAACTTTTCGAAGTAACAAAACAAATCGCTGTACTGTTCTTCACTTCGTTAAAATCAGAACAAAATTGAGAACTGATTGCTTTTCATTTAACTGATTTGATTTGAACAATTGCTTTAGAAAACTGATTGAGAATGGTGAAAAAACATCTTAATACAGAGGATGACTGGGAAGAATATGATGTCGGGAGAACAGATAAAACCATAGAAGATGACTTGGTTGAGGTATCGTTTTTTTGTTCCGACCACTGAAAATGAAAATGAAATTTGTATTTGGGTGTGTTATAATTGTTTTGTGTTTTCCATTCAAAATCGGGTAACACAAATAATTATCAGAATAGGTCTAGCATATATCATATGGAAGCCATATCAGTCATGATTTGAATTATAATAACAATTTTGGAAAAACTTTTCCAGTGTCGAGAAGAACTAATTTGATTTTTTAGAGGATGAATATTGAAACTTTACTGAAAAAAGTTTTTTGAAAATTTTTGTAATTCTTTATATTTTTAGTGCCGTTTTCGGAATAGAATTTCCAGTTTCGGAAAAAAAATATTTTTGTTTTTGCTGGTCATTTTTCGAAAAAAAAACCGTTGACCGATTTGCTTATTACTTGTTTATTACAACCAAGATTTTTAAAACCACAAAAAATGAAACAAATTGGTAGAAAGAGTGCTAGGCAAATATTACAACCTTAGAGCCTGAGAAAAAATAAAACTGAAATGAAGCATAACAATATAAGCATGTTGGTACGCAAATATGCCGCATATTTGCTCCAAAATGTTTTAGAACAGAAAAAAATTTGAAAAATAGAATATAAATATATATTTTTTATCAGATATTCTTAGATGATAAACTAGAACCACAATTTACTTTACGCGCAAACGACTGAAAAACTACAAATCAAAATAAATTGCCAATAAGTTATTGGCTAATTCAACAAAATGTTTATTAAGGCTGACATAATGTTGTAAAATCTTACCATAACATCCGGGATCAACAAAACAACAACTAGCCAACTAACAATCAATTTAAACACTATTATATAGAGTAGTTACATTTTGACCAGTTTGCATTCCCAGTGTTTAAAAACATTTCAAATGCAGTCGTTTTTTCATAAAAGCCAAAATAAAGCTATTTATTTACGACGTTAGATTTAACACAAAAAGCTATCCTAATTGAGTGCGAATAAACGATATACTGCTGTGCAAGTTGTACAGAACATTTTGATTGAAAAAATTGCCACAAAAATGGCAAAAATCAGAAAAAAAAACTTTTCTGCCAGTTGACAAAAATTTTAGTCTTTTTTGCAGGTTCAGAGGCGCTAACTTAGCTTTCAAAACTGCCCATTCAATTTACCTATAAAGATGCGTAAAAAGATTTTTTCATTTCAATTTTTTCTGGAGTAAAAACCTTGAACAGCCGGAAATGTGTAAGTCATTTTATTGCATACTAAATTAGTCTGCAAAAAAAATCGTCTGCACTTTTTTCAGTCAATCATTAATTATATGAAGTTTTTTCATTTCAGCTCGATTCATAACTGAAACATTTTTACTCTAGATTATCAGTCCACCCTTTATGAGGATTTTATATTGAAACTAGACTTGCACCAGAAAATAACATTATGGTTCCAAACTTCCTTCTCAAGTTCGTCTGGTTTATATGGCAGCGGGCATTCATCAGCTTACAAAACACGAGCTTTTGCAGGTCTGGTATGTGGAGCTCGTCGGGGACTCGACTCGCTCGTCCTTTCCTTTTTGCCAAAAACTGAATACGAGTCATGTTTTTAATTTGAAACGGCAAATTACTATTTAATTTTTCAACAAGAGAAGTTTCAACGAGACCCTACTTTAGGTGAAAGAGCGGGTGCTGAAGTGGACTTTGAGTGCACCAAAATTGACAGCTTCTGCCTCGATAGGTATTGTAAGCCCAGATGAGCGACAAAAGTTGGGCTACAATTTCTTGGCGCTCTGCTCTCTCGGCTACCGATTCAACCACAAGTCACAGTGCATAGAGTGCACAATGTGTAATTACTCGTTCCACAAAAACGAGTTCTATGATTATGACCTACATTGCTTGCAGGGATCCAAAGGTTGTCCTATCTCTTCACACTACTTAATAAAGCCATTTAAAACACACTTAAAATGTTTTATTCTCGTTAAAATAAAGGAAACTATGAAAGCTGTATTGAAAAATTTAAAAGCTTTAAACGAATTTTGTTCAACAGCATCTGCAGAGTGAATAAAAAACATTTTTCACAAAAAACAACAATGCGATTCAATGATGCAAAAGTTTTTTATGCAAAAATCATTTGAAAATTGTGGAATAAAATTCGCCGGAAGGAACAAAATGAAATAAAATCAAAATGTGTAGTCAAACTAACATTCTTGCAACTCTTAACGGCTATTTTGAGAATTTTTTTTTATCTTTTAAGATGACACGTTGCTATCTATGAAAGGTATGTGGACTGGGATAGAGTGCTCTTTTGCCCTTACCTCGCTTAGTTTCGCTGCTGATTAGGAAAAGGAGTCCAGTGCCCTGTATGGCTCAAAGGAGGTTTCACATTGAACCCCCGGGAGACTCAGATGGCAGCCAGAAGCAATGGAACAGCCATTGAGCCGACATTCGTATTGTCCTCCACTTTTTACGATGCCACTGAGCAGAAGATGCACGTAGACGAAACCATTACTGAGAGCGATTTCGATCAAGATAGCATCGATCTGGATAGCGATCAGGTACAAAAAAATGAAGTTTTTAGTTTAAACATTAAATTTCCGTGATCAGCAGTTTCAATTAAACTGTTTGTCAGGCTCGGAGCAATTTGATAGCAAAGTGTAGTAACAAAGTGTTCTGCTAATTTCGACATACTCAAAGCTTCGACTATTTTTCACTCCCCCAAATTTGAATTTCAACGTTTAACATTAATATAAAATGGTCATAATGTCATGAAACTTTGCAGGGCAAACAAACTAGCTATTTTAAACACAATTGTTACGCAGTTTGTAGCATATGAAAAAACGCTAAAAACAGAAAAATTGAAACGTGGGCGGGGATGTGGTGCTGAAAAAAAAACAGGATTTTTAAAGAAAGAATTAGGTTCCTAAAAAATTTAGGCTGAACTGGTTTTTACGCAATTGTGTTTCTTAAATAGTGAATTACGATTAAACTATTTATATGAAAAACGTTGACGATCGTGCCTCAGGTCTCATTTTTTCTTTTACGTTCGATCTTATAACAAAAATTTTGTTGATGAACCCTGAATCATTCTTTCAAAAAATTTCGTGGGTGAAACACTGCATCAAACGACATTTAAATATCTAAATTATAACTCGGAGACATAATTTTATCTTCAGTACAACAGTGCTGATTTAACTTATCCGGACAAAACGAACATAAATGGAACATATCTCAAATTGGGTTAAAATTTGAAGAGAACAAAAGTTGTTTAGCATTTCACCAGAGTTAAGTGATGCAATACTTTCTTCGAAATTCTCAACAAATTTTTATCCGAAAAAGGTCATTTCGGCTTTTTTAATTACTCAAGAGTTACGCTGAAACTACGGAATAAATTGATGAGAAAATTATATCAAAAGAAGCCTCTTACACATCCTAACAAAACTGTAGAATTGTAGCACTTCAGAAAAATTGCGTAAAACTTTGTAACTTGTTTTTAGGCAAAGTTCTTGATTTAATTTTTTTAGGAAAAAAAAACTTTTTTTGGCTATCAGCCAAAAAATTGTTCTTTTATACAGATTTTTGGAAATTTTTCATTTCTAGATTTTTTTTGGGCTGTGTAGGAGGCTTTTTTTTTAAAAAAAATTGTCATCAGTTCACTGTAATTTTTGATACATTAAAAATTTTGGGGTCAAATTTTGGTTGCGAGCTTTGAAGAAAAAAATTGCATCATTTTAATTCTGGTGAAACTCTAAGAAACTTTTTTTCACTGAGCTTTGTGTCCTATCTTAACCTAATTTGAGAAAAATCCGTTTAATATTTCAAACATTGTTCGTTTTGTCTGGATAATTTAAATCCGCACTGTATAAGGTGATGTCATGTTTTACTGCACGGCTCTTTTTACGATTTTTTTATATCAAGCTTTTTTTGTTCTTGGATTTGGAGAAATCCCTCATTGATGAACAACTGGATGGGCGAAAATTAAAATCATCTTATTAGATTTCAGTATTCTAAAATTTGGCAAGAAAGGGTGAAAGAAACTAAACATTTCACGGGACTTGAAAATAATATTGACCGAACATAAAAACGGCAGAAGTATGCAAAATTTTCAAGTCGTCACTGACCATCACCGGCAAATTAAAAGAAATTTAATAATTCAAAAGTTTCGTTTTAAAAGAAGCAAAATATTGCTTCATTTAGTTCCTTTTAATTGAACAGCAATTGATTCGTTTTAATAATTGTCTTTTGACTGTTTTGGTTTTTGGCCCTTCGCACTTAAGTTTTTTGCCCGTTCGGTCCTTCGCAAATGAGAGTATCCCCTTGTAAATTTGTAGGGGGGTATTCTTATGGACAAAAACTCAAGGGCGAAGGACCGAAAACAAAAACAGTCTAGAGTCAATTATTAAAAATGAATCAATTTCCGTTCAATTTAAAGGAATTAAATGAAGCAATATTTTGCTTCTGTTAAAACGAAAATTTGTTTCAATTCCTCTGTAGTGAAAATGAGTGACAACGGAAGAGTGAAAATTCAAGTTAAATCTGCATTTTACATCAAGTGTCCACTTTTTGCGTTCTTTGATATTCGAGAAAAACTGAGCCAATCTATTTTTTAACCTATGGACATGTTTGCTAACCATTCTTGTGTTGTTAGATCATTTTTTTGGTACACAATGGACCGAAAGAAAACTTAGATGAATCAGAAATGGCTATAAACCTAACGGAAGACGATTCCGAAGAAAGTTTTCAGTTTTTGTCACGAGAAAACAGAGAAGATAGTCTTGTGAAGCTTAACCTCTGGTCTTGTTTTACGCCTACATTTGCCATAATTTTGTCGTTGATGGGTTTTTACAGCTTTTCCGATACGTTGAAAATGCTGAAATGTTTTTATTGCAAGTTTTTGAGCCCTGAAACATCATTGAGAACTCTAATTCGAGCACATTCTGCGTTTTCGCCGCGTTGTTGTTACGCAAAATTTGTGGACATATCGACAGAAGAAACCAGTCGGCCAGAAGATACTGCGGCCCATTTAATTGCATTCAACATATTCAACAATTTGAAAACTTTCACGGACAGATGCTTTCTGTTGTCCGAAGCGATATGCGTCGAGGCAGCCGCCTGTGGGCTTCGGTTTCGACCATTCACGTATTCGGTCATATGCACGGCATGTGACTTCGAAGCAGATCTCGAAGATTCCGATCAGAATCGCTATTTGACCGAGATGCATTTAAAGCATAATCCTAAGTGTCTCAACTTGGGAGATAGTGTACATATGGAAATAGGACGAAAACAAAAAGGGATTCAATTTTTTCTGGCTCCCCAAAATGCTAAAGTACTTTCATGTGCATAAGTAAAACAAAACTAAAATCCAAATGCGGTTTTTTAAGTGAACTGTTTTTTGATTAGATCAACTTGGACGTTCATTAGGACTATGTTCTAGCAATACAAACACGAAAAAATCTCCAACTCAGAAAAAATTTATGGTTGTACGAATTCCGAAAGAAATTATTTTAGTTTTCGCTAAATAAAAGAGCGACTTCATTCATGGTCTGGGCTATCCACTAAGCAAATTACATTTCTTGAATTTGACATTTAAAAAAATTAAATTGCTAATTCTTCATCTATCATTTTGGTTTTTCAAGCTATTTGTGGAACCCATGAGATTATTGAGGAAAGGTTTTGCGACATTTCTAGATTTTCCCCTGTAGAGGCTGACCGAGTTGAAAAAAAAAGATTCCGAGGACAAAAAATGTTTCCACACACCTCATGAAATATAAATATGTTTGACATTTTTTTCTAGTTTTTTTATAGTATGGAATTGCATGATTATACTTGAAGCTTATACAGATCAAACAAACCATCTGTATCTGAAATGGTACAGTATGGACTCGGTGCTCATTAAATTGATCTTTGATTCTTTCTCCTCCAGCTATTTTTTGTCTAAATATTGTAGATTGAAGCAACGATAGTCAATTTTAATTCGAGGTACCAATATATGTGGCACAATAAATACTATTTTTGAATGCTAGCCCACAGTTATTTAGTTGCGCTGTTTGTATACGCCGGCATTTTGAGGAGTCTAAATTTAACCCTGATCTAGCCACTATAAATGACGAGTTCTTCGAGAGACTCATCAAGCTCCCCTTCTTTTCGTACCTGAATGACTTGAAATGTGGATCAGCAAAATTCGATGAATCCTTACATTCATTAAGCACAAATTTAAAAGCCAACTCAAAATCTAAGACGAAATTGCAGCTTTTACAAAAAGAAAAGAACGCAAACTACAATGAGGACATCACTAAGCAAAATCATGAGGTGGAAGCTGTTAAAAAAGAACCAGGGTCCCTTCAGGAGTCATCCTACTTCGGTTCGTCGAGTTCAAATGCAAATACTTCTGTAACTCCTCCTCACAGTACACCTGCTTTTCAAGATGCTGATTACACTAGAGTAAAAAGCGTGAAAATTCTTGATTCTAAAGTTCCAAATACTCATTTTAACAAAAACGATTTTGTTATGATGATGGCATCACGTGACGTGGACAAATTTGAAGAGTTGTTCCTGAGGATTAGCGCAAACGCTTTTGCCGTTTCCTCCCCCGTCTCTTCCCCTGAAAAACTCAACAATTTGTTCATGCGGGAGGTGCTGGGTCCACTGACTATCGAGGAGCGCCAGGCGACTAGCATGGTTCGAAATACCGAGGAGTCCGGACTATGTTCGGTATGTTTGCAAAAGGAGGCGAATCAGGTTTTGACCATGTGCGGACACCTCAGCACTTGTTACGAGTGTGTTTTACAGGTGAGTTCGTGTCCCATCTGTCGCGCAAGAATAACAGGTGTAATGCCTGTTTCTCTTCCTCGGAGATACTTTAAAACAAAGAGCGACTTTTAAATCGACTTTCAAAACAAAAAGCGACCAGTGTTTGAAAGTTCTCTCGGAAGTATTTTTTTCTTCAAATTTGATAAATTTTATGGAAAGATCTTATCACCTTCAAATTTAAAGGATCTTATGGAAGGATTTTATTATTCTGAAAGTTGAAGGATGTTATGGAGAGATTTGAAGAAAATGAGCTGACGAAATGAATGAAGATTGTGCGAATGTCCAACTTATTTCAATCAGTACACCCAACGATCCCGTTCCCACAAAACTTTTTCCACAAAACCTCCACTATAGCTTGAGATCAAATACAACGCTACCACGGTTGAATTTCACTCTTGTTATTTCCATGCACTCAATTAATCCTCAGTTACTGAAAAACTATTCAAGATGATCCAAAAATTTAGAACAAATCCAGTCATACAAAAACCATACCATATAAAAACTCGGAAACAGAGGCGAACTTTTTGCAGAAACGACAAAAGTTTTCTTGGTTGCTTCGGCTGGCAAGAATTTCAACATTCAATAGACCCCCTATTGAGTCAACCCCTCCTCCGATCTTACTTTGCTGAGTGAACAGTCGGAGAGGACCTCTCAATTTATGATTACCTATTTTTACTAACTGTATTTTTTCTAATTAACTGTTTTCTAGTACTATATATCCTACTGGATTCTATTGTTTTACTATTTTAATATTTACAATTTAACATTTTTTGTAGTTATACTAGCCCTAGCCTTACTTAGAAAATAATTTTACTAATTTCACTTATAGAAAAAAAAGAAACACTAACTGTCAACATTTTATTAGATTAACGACGGTTTGTTAGTTTGTTAGCTATTTTCCTGATAAATCACCTTGAAAAAGACGACAAGTTCTAAATTGACTTTGCATGATGTAAAACTTCAATGAGCCGATGTTTCTTTTGTACTCATTTTGCTAGCAAGCAACCAAAAATACTGAAAAGAAAACAACCTGAAAGCAGAGAACCTCAGCAAAATGCTTGTTAGAAAAATCAAGTGGCTAAACAAGAAAATTCTTAAGCGTTATCAACATCATTGATGTATAAAAACAATAGTCTTAAACTTAATGACGTGTGCCAGACCCGTACAAAAATCTACGATGTTGCTATACGCCAACAAAAATAGTTAGAAAGTTCAAACTTTGCGTTAATTATTCGTGCAGGTATCTTGTTGTATTTTGAGCCATATACGTTTTTAAAACTATTTCAGCAAACGCTTAGCAATTTTAGGCCTCAGATTAATATTTGTCTTCTATAGAAACCGAGGCTAGCCAAAAGCCTCCATTGCTTATTAAAGAAACTTGGCGTACTGTGATGACTGTAAACTTGTAAAATTTGTAGCTTACGTAATTTATATTCAATAATCTGTTTCACATTTATTGTAGAATGTTGTAAGAGCAAACTAAACCATAATACGATAATACGCTACTGACTTCTGAGAAATAAATTAGATGTTAATTCAAAAATTTTTAGTTAAAATTTTTTAAATTAAGCTCGGGAAGTCAACTCCTTTGATAGTATAAATAAAACTCCGATCTAAAAGGGGTTAGTTAAAATCTATTCTGGTTTGAAGAAAAAATTACACCCAGTATCAGGGGCGGATCTAGGATTTCCTCGATGACCTTTTTTTTAGGTCGACCAATATGATTTCCGAGCTCTCCCAGAACACTATAAAGACCCTGTTTTGATAGTCAAATTTTCTGAGCCGCAGGCGAAATTTTGAAAAACTTTGACAAAATTCTGCTCCCCCTCAAAATTAGTATATATTGGCGCTAAGGGCGCCCTTAGAAAATTTTTAGGGTCCGTCATCAAAAATGGATATCTCAAAATAGTACAAAGGGGGACCCTTTGGGTCGGCAGAGGCTCAAATCCGTGAGTGAGGGAGGGGTCCGCCCCCGCTAAATCCGCCCTGCCCAGTATAAAATTCCATCATTTCATCGAAAATCGAACAATAATATATTTGTATCAAAACAATTGAAGATATCAAAAAGCAATCGGATCCTTGAATGAATAATGAATTATATATCAAGTGCGTATTTCGGTTCTTATGCACAAAACGGCCCAAAATCAATGTTTTATATCTCGAGCTAAAGTTTACGCGGTCGAATCTGATTGGCTGATATTAGCAATGCAAATTCAACCAAGATGGCCCGTTCAGTTGAAACTTCAATCACATAAAAATGGCCGAAATTACCAAAGTGTGACACTTTGCCTAATAATCAAAATATTTTTGAGTCACTTCAGAAACTTTGCTCAGACGAGAAAAAGTTGGTTAAAAAACATCAGCAGGATAAAATTCTATAACTTTGATTATAACGGCCAACAGCTGCTTAAAATTCAAAATGAAAATCTGAATCATGTTGGTGGAATTTAAGTGTCTAATTAGCCAATCAGATACAACCCCAATAACTTATATTAATACTTAATTTTGGCCATTTAGTGCATAAAAATCCGCATTTTGAACAGAACTGACACACCAACTTGGTTTTCACGTGGTTAATGTGGGATTTTGTTTGAATGCTGTTAATGATCTAAGGTAATAGATTTTCATTAAAATCTCTCCTTTAAATTGATTTGGCGTAATGTAGTACGCTGATTTAAGAAGTGCTGATTGTATCATTTAAATCAATCCACAGTTGCTCATTAAAATCAAAAGTGAAAAAAAAATTTTTGACCAATAGTGGGACTGTTTAACATTTTTATTGACAATCAAATGTTATTCGGTGATCAAAGTGAGGATATAAAGTTTTTTTCCAGGACTTGAAAATTTACTTCAATTGAGTGTCTTCGCAATAAGTGTAAATTCATCAATTCTGCTGCTAATATTTTTTTGGTCGACCCGTGTATATTTGAGGTGACTACATGGGGCCAACAAAAGCCCAAAAAAAATGTGGGTTTTTTCATTTTTTTTTATCATTTTCAGAAATTTTTGTTAAAAAAAATTGCTATAATGGAAATTTTTTATAATAAAATTTATTAGCATTGGAGAAATTTTTTTCATAAAAAAACTGGCTTCAAAATAAGCATTAGCTAAGATTACAGTCGACAACTAAAACTAAAACTCAAAAATTTTACGCTTTGTTAATGTTTGTGAAGTTGAATACCTTTCCTACAAATCTCAAAAGTTCGAAGATAAGGGATTTTTGCAGAGTAGTCAGCTCAAGTAAGCTTGATTTTATAAATGAAGAAAATCTCAAAACTGAATTATCTGAAATACGCCATATCAACTCAACATTTTGATCTTGGCCATGCAGTATCCTGCCAAGTTATTCAACATCGTGCAAGATCTGGACAATTTTAATTAGGTAACTTGAAAAGTTTTCTCATTTCCAAATTACCAAAGTATTTTGTAAACTTTGCGCATTCATGCAAGTTCTTGCACATGTTGAATGATAACTTGGCAGGATATTGCATGACCAAGATCAAAACATTGGATTTATAAGGTGTTTTTCAGGTACTTAAACTTTGAGAACAAAATATTCAAAAAAGCTAAGTCGTATAAATTGAACAGAGTCAATGCTCCAATTAAACTAGAATAAAAAAAAAGTTGAATAAATTTACAACAATGTATCAATAAACTGGAACCGATAGCCAAAAATTAAAAACGAACTAACGCAAATTTAGCACAAATCAAAAAAAACTTGAAGACCTTCTGAATCAAAAAAGCATGAATTACAATCGATTATGATTGCATATATTGTCAACAAAAAATTTTCAAATTTTCTCATAAAATTATTTAATTTATTCGATTATATAGAGATTATTTTGCTTAGAAAAATAGTAAAATTTTATTCCATTTTTGGTCGATTTGTAATTTTATAGAGACTGACTATAAAAATCCAATATAGTCGTTTATTATCCATGAAATTTCAATGTGGTTGACAAATTAACCTTAATACACGGAAATCTGAATATGATCTTGGCTATCTTTCCGCGTTACTTGTCAGATGACCAAAGTAATTGAAAAAATATTTATATGATATTGACGAGCTTGTTTAAGCATCGTGGCAAAAATATACATGATCTTGGTAGGAAAAAAAAGAAAAACTGCAAATACTACACTAAATGAGGTAAGGAAGAAATATTTTGGTGGAATTAAAGTGTTTAATTACCCAATCAGATACAACCCCAATAACTTATATTAATACTTATGTTTGGCCCTTTAGTGCATAAAATTCCGCATTTTGAACAAAACTGACACACCAACTTGGTTTTCACATGGTTAATTTGGGACTTTGTTTGAATGCTGTTAATGATCTAAGGTAATAAATTTTCATTAAAATCTCTCCTTTAAATTGATTTGGCGTAATGTAGTACGCTGATTTAAGAAGTGCTGATTGTATCATTTAAATCAATCCACAGTTGCTCATTAAAATCAAAATTGGAAAAAAAATTTTTGACCAATTGCGGGACTGTTTAACGTTTTTGTTGTCAATCAAATGTTATTCGGTGATCAAAGTGAGGATATAAAATTTTTTTTCCAGGACTTGAAAATTTACTTCAATTGAGTGTCTTCGCAATAAGTGTAAATTCATCAATTCTGCTGCTACAATTTTTTGGTCGACCCGTGTATACTTGAGACGACTACATGGGGCCAACAAAAGCCCAAAAAATGTGGGTTTTTTTTTATTTTTTTTGATCATTTTCAGAAATTTTTGTTAAAAAAATTGCTATAATGGAAATTTTTTATAATAAAATTTTTCAATATTGGAGAAATTTTTTTTATAAAAAACTGGCTTCAAAATAAGCATTAGCTAAGATTACAGTCGACAACTAAATTTAAAACTCAAAAATTTTACGCTTTGTTAATGTTTGTGAAGTTGAATACCTTTCCTACAAATCTCAAAAATTCGAAGATAAGGGATTTTTGCAGAGTAGTCAGCTCAAGTAAGCTTGATTTTATAAATGAAGAAAATCTCAAAACTGAATTATCTGAAATACGCCATATCAACTCAACATTTTGATCTTGGCCATGCAGTATCCTGCCAAGTTATTCAACATCGTGCAAGATCAGGACAATTTTAATTAGGTAACTTGAAAAGTTTTCTCATTTCCAAATTACCAAAGTATTTTGTAAACTTTGCGCATTCATGCAAGTTCTTGCACATGTTGAATGATAACTTGGCAGGATATTGCATGACCAAGATCAAAACATTGGATTTATAAGGTTTTTTTCAGGTACTTACACTTTGAGAACAAAAGATTCAAAAAAGCTAAGTCGTATAAATTGAACACAATCAATGCTCCAATTAAACTAGAATAAAAAAAAAGTTGAATAAATTTACAACAATGTATCAATAAACTGGAACCGATAGCCAAAAATTAAAAACGAACTAACGCAAATTTAGCACAAATCAAAAAAAAAACTTGAAGACCTTCTGAATCAAAAAAGCATGAATTATAATCGATTATGATTGCATATATTGTCAACAAAAAATTTTCAAATTTTCTCATGAAATTATATATTTTATTCGATTATATAGAGATTATTTTGCTTAGAAAAATAGTAAAATTTTATTCCATTTTTGGTCGATTTGTAATTTTATAGAGACTGACTATAAAAATCCAATATAGTCGTTTATTATCCATGAAATTTCAATGTGGTTGACAAATTAACCTTAATACACGGAAATCTGAATATGATCTTGGCTAACTTTCCGCGTTACTTGTCAGATGACCAAAGTAATTGAAAAGTATTTATATGATATTGACGAGCTTGTTTAAGCATCGTGGCAAAAATATACATGATCTTGGTAGGAAAAAAAGAAAAACTGCAAATACTACACTAAATGAGGTAAGGAAGAAATATTTTGGTGGAATTAAAGTGTTTAATTACCCAATCAGATACAACCCCAATAACTTATATTGATACTTATTTTTGGCCCTTTAGTGCATAAAATTCCGCATTTTGAACAAAACTGACACACCAACTTGGTTTTCACATGGTTAATTTGGGACTTTGTTTGAATGCTGTTAATGATCTAAGGTAATAAATTTTCATTAAAATCTCTCCTTTAAATTGATTTGGCGTAATGTAGTACGCTGATTTAAGAAGTGCTGATTGTATCATTTAAATCAATCCACAGTTGCTCATTAAAATCAAAAGTGGAAAAAATTTTTTTGACCAATTGTTGGACTGTTTAAAATTTTTGTTGTCAATCAAATGTTATTCGGTGATCAAAGTGAGGATATAAAGTTTTTTTCCAGGACTTGAAAATTTACTTCAATTAAGTGTCTTCGCAATAAGTGTAAATTCATCAATTCTGAATTCTGCTGCTACAATTTTTTGGTCGACCCGTGTATACTTGAGACGACTACATGGGGCCAACAAAAGCCCAAAAAAATGTGGGTTTTTTTTTATTTTTTTGATCATTTTCAGAAATTTTTGTTAAAAAATTTGCTATAATGGAAATTTTTTATA